GCGCTGCGGCTGGGCTTTGCGCGGTGGGAAAGGGCCACGGGGAGGCTGAAGGGGTCCCTTCCTCCTCGTGGGTTTCCTGAAGGGGAGCTGCTGCCCTTACTAGTCCCGCGGGGAGGGGGCCCTGCGCCGTGCGCGGGCAGCCTTTGCAGAAAGCGGGACCAGGGGGGAGGAGGAGCGTAAGTGCGGTCCCTTCATGCGGGGAGCCTTTTTGCACAGTCACCAGAGAAACTGTATTTATTTTTTTAAAAAAAAAAAAAAAAGGGGCTATTGAAATGGACTACCTACGGAAGCTGGCGAGCGAGTTGTCTCCAAGGGAGCTTTGTGTCCGTTTGTTAAGCGAGGCAGTGCATGTGCTAGTCGCGGCAATGTGGGGAGGCTGTGCTGTGGAGGGGGATTACTGCAGAGGAAAGCACAGTCAGTTCCCTGCAGGAACAGGGTCAGATTAAGTGCATATAGTTCAGTCGTTTGTCAGAACCGGTAATGCCTGCTCAGTAGTGATTCTGTTACGAATGAAGGTTAATAGCGGTAGTCAAGTCTACTTGTCGTTTGCTTTGAGTGTTTTAATTTGCTCGTGGCAAGAACTTCACCTTACTAATGCCTTTTCTTTTCACAGTGTCCTAGAAACTTGTAAGCATGTAATGTACATTTTTATGTTTGTGCTGTGTTCTCACATTTCTGCAACATCTCAGTCTGCACGAACAGTGAACTTATCTGCTGTAAAGTCACAGTTCCCCTCTAGGTTAGTGGGAAGAGAGAAGCAGGCCATAAACGCTTCTGTGCCCCATAGATTTTTGACTGTTAATGTGTGTGCGATAAAAACTTTCACAAGAGCAGAACAACTTAATTGAATTGTAGTAGTGTTTTTCTGTGTGTGTGTGAAACCCAAACATCCTAATATTAAGTGCTACAGTTCTTGAGCTATCTGCTGACAGCGTGGATGAGAAGTTTAGAGGTATTGTGTTCTGTGTGGATTAGATTCAGTAACCTCCTGCTTTACAGCAGAATGCTTATCTCCAGATCAGACATTCAATTTCAAGTAGGACACAAGCTAGTCAGTACTGGCAGGTGGCTGATGCTGAAGGTGGGCTTTGCTGATAGGAGACAAGTGTAAACTAAGAAAATTTGAGTGCACAGAGCTGGAACAGGAATTTTTTTATAGTACAACAAAGTACCTTGCACACTTTGATATGTGCAAGCACTCACTGCGACTAAACCAAAAAAACCCATTTCAGATTGCTATATATGTTTTTGTTTTTCAGACCCCATCAGCTGTTCAGAAGATAAAACAGCTTCTTAAAGATAAACCTGAGCATGTAAGTATGAAGAGTGCTATGGTGTTAGTACAGCTGATGGTCACAAAGCATTTCTGGCTGACTTACAAGTTTGAAATAGACACTGAGGTGTTTATTAGAGATGTTGTGTCTTTTCTTGGAGGGGAACGTGTAAGCTTGTTTTTATGTCAAGCTTGCTTTCTTTATCAAATGAAATTCAGGAAGTAACTGACTGTTACTACATTTCACTATAAATTTGCTTTTGAGATGAAAAAATTTTAAGCTTCAAAATATTTTTGAGCTGTATTTTAATAAAGCCTTTTGGTGTGGCATAGTGGTGCCTTCTGGTAAAATCTTCCAGCTGTTGATATTAAGACGTTATTAGTTAAGTTCTTCCAGAAATTCTCATTGTGAAGTTTATAATAAGAAAAGTTAGATTCATACCCATTGGAAAACATCTGATTCTTAGGAAACTTGCCAAACAGTGTTTGGGGTTGTTTTTTTTTTTTTAAGTAATCAGCCTTTCTCCAAATAACTGATTGAGCTTGTCATCTTTTTTCCTTGGGGAGTAACACCCAGAATTTTGCTTTCTAACCATTGTAAAAACAAGCGTTAGATTTTTTTTTCTTCACAGTAAGTATTATTTCAAGAGGAATATTCCTCTTTTTACTTTCATACAAGGCCCGTTGTTTCCTTTGCTTCCTGCACATCTGCAGCTAACTAGACTCTTTGTTCTAGTGTTTTGAACCATCCTTAGGAGGCCCTGAGCCTACAGCTTAGCTGGTCAGTCATTCCCTTGTTATAAATAGTGTTGCGCTTTCCAGCCCATTATTTGTAAAAAAAATGAGAAAGGTATTTAGTCTGAAAAGCTGAAACGCTGTTTGTCTGAGATCCCACTTCATGGCAAGTGATATGTTTTGATAACATTTTTAACATAACATTGATTATGGAGATGGGCGATATAATTTTCCTCTTCAGTTATGAAGCACTGATGTCGAAAGATTGTTGTGCACAAATAGTTCCCTGTTTCTTTAAAATCTTTTCTCAGTTCTGTACTTACACAAATGCTCTTTTCGTCAGACTTTTTGGATACTGTGAATGTTACAAAACAAACTGACTAGGTTGGCTTTTGAGGCCAATTAAGACAGTAAGCAAGCTAACAAATTAACATACTTTAAGGAGGGGATTGGTTTTTAAGTGAGACTAGCAAAAGAGGTAATGAGGAAATCAAAGTACATTTTTACAAACTTCGGTTTGCAGTACGTTTTCTGATGGTGTCGTTACAAGTGTTCTGTGGCAATCTAGAAACTGCCCTTGTCTTGGCCTCGCAACTTCATAATTATGTTAGGTCAATAATCCTAACATAGTGCCTGAATTAGCATCTGAATAAACTTTAATTTGAAGTCACAAAAATGTGTCTTTAAAATTTGCCTGTCTTTATGAGACCAGGAACTTACAAGAGTGACAATAGTTTATTACTTCAAAACTTTAATGTACTTTAGGGCTTGATCCATGATAGCAAACATCTGTTTGCTTTTACTTTGGCGTTCAATTTTGTAAAAGGAAAACAATGTTACCTCTTAATCCATTAAGGTGATTCGCTTCTGCTTTGAGGCAGAGGAGAGTAATAAATGTCAGCATTCTGTTGTTCTGCATACTTTTCATCTGAGTGTTCCAGAATCGATTCTTAAAAAGTCATGAATGTGGTGTTGGTTTTGGTTTTTGGTTGGTTTTTTTTTTAGGTAGGTGTGAAAGTAGGTGTTCGTACGAGAGGATGCAATGGACTTTCTTACACATTAGAATATACAAAATCAAAGGGAGACTCCGATGAAGAAGTAGTCCAAGATGGTGAGTTTCTGATGCAGCAAAGCAAACTTCTGTGGTGGTGGGATAGAATAACCTATTACAGGTTTGCCAAGGTTCAGTTTAGAACTTACTTGAAGTAACGAGTTACAGCAAGAGGTCCTGCTGTCCTGTCATAGGAATTGTTGTCACCTTAGTTTCTGTTTTGAAGTAACCAGTTAAAATCTGCAGCTTTGCAGTCCCTGTATCAGAGACAACTCCACCAGAGTAGTCTGCTGTTCATGTCTTTGGAGGTGGCTAATAGCAGATATCTAGAGAATAATAACACAGCAATGCATATATAAAGGAATACATTATCAGCATACCTAAACCAAGGCTTGGCAAAGTAAAGATTTTATTTGCAAGGCATTTTCCCAATTATCTTCTCTAACTAGTCTTATTCTTTATTGATTTGGCTTTAGCCTCTTAATGCTTTTGGCCTTTACATTGCTTTGTTACAATGGGTTCTATCATTTTAATTTAAGAGTATTTTAAAAATTGTTTTCGTATGCTAGTATTAAAGCTTTCTGCCTGATAATTTCAAGGAGCATCCCATGATGGGTCTGTTGCTAAAGTTCCTGTCATGCTTTAATCCTGGCCATCAGCTCAGCCCCACAGAGCCTCCCACTCTGGGGTGGTGGCAAGAATCCATGGGTTACAATAAAGATGGTTTGGTAGGCAAAGCAAAAGCCACATGCACAAGCAAAACAAAAGAAGGAATTCATGCAGCACTTCCCGTCGGCAGGCAGGAGTTCAGCCAGGACAGCAAGGCTCCATCATGCTTAACGGTGACCTGGGAAGACAAAATGCCCTAATTCCAAACGTGTCCCCCCCTTCGTCCTCCTTCCCCAACTCTTCATATGGCATGGGATATCCCTTTGGTGGGCTGGGGCCAGCTGTCTTGTCTGGGTCCCCTCCCAGCTCCTTGCCCACTTGCTGGCTGGGCAATGTGAGAAGCAGAACAGCCCTTCACGCTGTGCGAGCACTGCCCAGCGGTGACGAAAACATCGCTGTGTTATCAACTCTGTTTCCAGCACAAATCCAAAACGTAGCCCCTTAGCAGCTGTTCTGGAGAAAATTAACTCTAGCCCTGTCAAAACCAGCACAGTTCTGTATATTTTTCCGGTTTTTATAAAAGTTTCTGTCAGTAGTCTTTTTATCAAATACGGATTTTTACAGAAGCATAACAGTGTTTTTCATTTCTGTTCTTTTTCTGCTTCATAGATCAGGTCCATAAATGCTTTCATTACATTTAGCCTTCACTGTCAGTTACTGTCCAAATTGACCCCAAATTCCACACAGTTGCCCGCAGACTTGAGTTGTGTTAGTAATATGTTTTGTCTCAGTGCCTCCTGTGATGAAACATTTCCAGCAATCTCTTAGAATGAGCTCTGGTTGCTGTTTACTGATACAATTTTACATTTTTATTTTTATGATTTGTAGTCTCTGGACAGTTAAACAGTCCGTTCACACTTTTGTACCAGAGTTGCAGTTTTAAAGTTCAGTATCTTTCCAGAGACGTAGATACTTTGTACACTTTAGAATAGGGAGCTCTTTCTAGTTCCTGAAATGAGCTACTAATTTTTAGTTCTTAAAGGTTGTGGTATCCTGTAAGTTCACACATTTGCCTTATTGTAGGATTCAGTATTGCTGATAGTTAATACAGACCTGATATTTTTGGCAGAGCAAACAATAATTATTTTGAGAGAGGATCATTTGGGTTTTAAAGTTTTTTGGGCATCTTGTTGGATGCACAGATTTTAAGAATGGTAGGAAATGGGTTACTGACTGTAATGTCATGGGAATTAATTATTGGAACAGAGATTCATTACCAGGTTCTACAGCTTATTTCCCTGAGTATCGTGTTTTTAAATCCCCCCCTCTAAAAAATACTTTCATGTGTGCACACCAGTAACAGTTCTAGTCTGTTGCTAGGCTTTTATAGGCAGAGTAAAAACAGAGATGAAAGTGCCGCATGTTAGGCCAGGGAAACCCAAGTTAATACTGGTAGCCTTCATAGTTAGCTTCCATTTTTTTATCACTGGTTGAGAGAGAATTTCAAATCAAAGTGAGTGATGATTTTGCTGTGATTTC